ACCCCCCGCCAGGGCAATAACCGCCATCTTCAAAGGGCACAACTTGCATTTCTATGAAGAGCCATTCACATTACCATCAGCAGCCTACAACTTAGCTCAAAGACAGTGAAACACGCAGTTAGCAAAGGGCACACTAAGAGAAAACAATTTTACTGCCGATTTCTATTTTTCTTACCAGCAGAAAGGGGGAAATCCTGAGCAAGAAAAGAGTTACAAGTTGTAGATCATGTGTGAAATGAGAGGACTGGGAGGGCTGCTTCGCAAATACCCCAAATCCACCCCTACCCCCCCCTTCATACCTCAGCGCGAGGACTTCTGCCCAACACACCCTACGAAAGGTGCTTCTTCAGCTCCTTCACCACCTCTTGAGGCTCAGGGAACTTGAGTTTGCGTGGGGGCCCCTTCTTAATCCCAGTCCAGAGCTCCACACCTGGGAAAAGACCGAGGAAGCGAAGTCACTTTGGAATGCACCAGCATGTCCCCCAAATGCCGAGGTGCCCGCGGGCTGAGCCCAGCGCCTCCCGCCTGCTCCCGGGCCGCCACTCACTGCTGCCGTCTGGGCGCAGCAGCGTCACCTCGAAGCTGCCCCTCCGGGGCTTGGCAGGATTCACCTCCACCGGAAGGTCCGGGGTCTCCAGGCGCAGCGCCTGGCTCAGGGCCGCGGCGTTGCGCCCGTAGACGCGTCAGCTCGTGCTAGAGAGAGATGGGGAAGGTCAGAGGCTGGGGCCTTGGCCTGCGACGCCCTGGCCCGCCTCCCCGGGTTTCTCCAGACCCCTCACCAATGCTCGATCACGACGGTCGCGGCCTCCACTGCCTTCCGGCCGCCCGCCGGCTTCTCCTGTTTCGCCGCCGCCGCGACCACCGCCACCTCGGCCTTCCGCTTTCTGCCCCGAGAAGCCATGGGCCTGGAGCCCGGCAGGGAGCCGAACCGAGCCGGGCGCGAATAGGGGTCCGGCCAACGCCGCTCCGAGCTCCAAACCACAGGCCAGGAAGCCCGCCGCCGGGACAAAGCGTCTCCCGAGCTGCGCAAAGCTTTGCCGAGAGCACACGTGGTCTGGAGGCGGGCTCCCTGGGCACAACCATTCTGCCCGCGGCGGGGGGGAGCTAGAGAGCCCCAGACCGAACCACCCGCGCTTGCGGAGGGGCGCGGACTAGGCAGCTCCGAAACAATCCTGGCTTCACACAGGCGTTTCTGTAAGCCTCCGTCGGGCTAAATAGCGTGGACCACAACACACAGACCCCACCCCCGCCAACGCACCTGCTCCCTGGAAACCGCGGGCCAATCCCAAAGCAAACCCACAACCTAACTCGGCGAGGTCAGTACTCCGGGATTACTATAACTAGCATTCCCTGACTCTCCCTCATCCCGGGGACCAGTGCCGGGCAGTTGGAGAAACTCATCAGGATGGCCTTTGAAGTTGAGGAGGAGATATGCACTTCCTCTGCAATGGCCAGGCTTTTCTAATGGGCGAGGAACACACAGAGGCGCAAACAAAAGGAAATCCCAGTTTCTTTATTATGGAAAACCATCAACTGGGTGTTGGGAGTAGGTAGGAGAGTAAGTGAAACCCCATTCCTGCCCCAGGGCTTTCTCCGGGAGGCCCCACCACACAAAGGAATGTCTCAAACCTATTCCCCTTCCTCCCAAACTCCAAAAAATAGGGGGATTATTCAATATTATCTTCAATGAGTACACTCAGTGGTTAAAGGTGTCTCCTTGGGACCAGTGGCAAAATTAGCCTTATACTTTTTAAAGAAGGCCACAGGCCAAGCCAGAAGTGCCTAAATAAGCAAGGGTCCTTGAGGGAAAAATCCTAGCGCAGACTCCATACACAGGCATCTTCTGTTAGGCTGAATATAATCTAAGCAGACTGTGTAGGTCCACTAAGAGGAGGGATGAAAACACAGCATGGTGGAGACAGGTGAGTGGTGGACAGTAACTGATAACTGACCCAAGCTTGGAGGGAAAGCATTTCCTCATCCATGGTGGATTTCTCCCTTCTTCCAGTGAAAGTTGGCCACAGCAGTGGAGGCCGTCCTGGAGGATGCCTGTCAATTCCCTGGAAGCCTCTTTAAAATCCGAAGCAGCCCCCTGCCCCACTCAGGGATAGCCAAAGGAGAAAACATAAATAAAAGGCCCAGGCCTCACGCAAGGCTTGTGGTTACAGGAGGGGCAGCGTCTCAAAGGTGAGGAAGTACTGACAAGGCAGGGATTCTATTTGTCCTTCTTGCTTTCCCCATCTGGCACTTCTGTGGGGGTTGAGGCCGCGGGCTGCTCTTCAGGGGTATTATCTCCAGCCTTTGATAGCTTCTTGGCCCGTTGATACAGTTCATTCAAATTGAATTCTCGGATCACATTCTCCTGCACAAAAGAGGTACATACGCACATCAGGGTTCTGGTTGGAGAGTCCTTACTGGGAAGTAAGAAGTATTTAGACACAGTCTAGGAAAGAAGGAAGGAGAGGACAGAAATCTACTCTAAACTAACTCTCCTTTTTTGGGTACCTGGAAGTGTCAACCCTGTACAGTTAAGTACCCACTATGTGACAACCACTGTGCCAAGAATTACAGATACATTATTTAATGTCCTCTACAAAACAACCCTGCGATCCAAGTGTTACTCTCTTCAATTTACTGCTAAGGAACCTCAGGCCTACAGACTATACTGACAAGGCCTTTGAGACTGAATCTTAATTAATAACTGTTCCCCTGTACTAGGAGTTCTGGCACACGGTAGAAGCACAACAAATTTGCTAAGTGAATTCGTGAATGAAATCTGGTAACTAGTCTACACTCTCAAAACTAGTGGGCCAAGTGGCAGAGCCAGGCATCAAACCCAGGCTGGGCTCCAAAGCCCATTACTGTTCTACACCCTTCTCCAAACCACTCGCTCACTCTTTCAGATACCTCAGAGAAGGTCCAAGAGACAGCTCGTCCTTTCTTGTCAATCTGTGGCCGCCGCATGACCTCCTTGCCACCTTGGAATAGGATCAGGGTAGGGAGCTGCTTGGTGAGGGGCGACGTGCTCACTTTGTACCTACAGGGCCCAGAAAGTACTCTATAAATGCATCTGTCTACATCACTCCAAGTGATTTACTGCTCAGACCCTCTGTCCAGGCCCTTACATACCGTGTACTAACATCAGTGTAGCGTCCAACATCCACCTTCCCAAAATTTAGCCCTGTACAGTTGTACCTAAGAAAAATATACTATTTAACATAATGAAAGAAGAAAATGGGTCAAGGGAAGTTGAAATACAGATATTTGTGGAGGGGGGGGAGAAACGCCTTTGGTTACAATGTGCAGAAATCAGAGCCAAAAACACTGAGAGGGAAAGTACAGCACCTCTGCACCCATCATCCCTCCCTATACCGTACTCACTTGAGGGAGAGGTCAGCATAGATAGGAGCAAACGACTGGCAGTCATTAGACCAATTGGCAAAGAACTCCACAATCCAAGTGACCCTCTTGTCCCGCTCTAGCTCTTCCTGCCACACACAGGGAAGAAACAGTGAGCTGGATCACACAGGCTCCCAGAAAGGTTCAGACTTGAGCATCTAATTCCTCACCCTGGCTTTCCCTCCCCCGTCTCCCTAGCTCCAGTAAGGATCCACAGTGCTCTTGACTTCCATTCTGAAGCAGTTACTCCTCCTAGTGAGTAAAAAGCACAACTACAAAATCACCCACAAGGGACCCAAGAAACAGGAGAGAGGAAGAGAACTCACATCAATGGTTTTATCATTGAAGTACTTAATGTACTCAGGGCCCATATACAGGGGAGGTTTGCACGTCATCAGGAACACTAAACACGGAAAAAAGAGGTCAGAGGAAACATATAAGGCCTGCAGCAGGGGATTTACTTTCAAACTGAGTCAAAGATTTTAGGCACCAAAGAATACACTTTGTGGACGGACATATGCAGACCACTGACACATTCTCTTCTTCTTAAAGTTTCTGTAGATTCTTATCACCTGAGCCACATACATAATTAATGAACTACAAGATATGGAAGAAGGGTATGGAGAGACTTGTCTAGGGTTGGAATTTGGTTCCCACAACCAGTCTCCTTACCTATGCAGAGTGTGATGTAAAGCAGGCCCATGCGAATATCCAGACGGAAGAAAAGAATTGCATTGGCCACTTTACTAAACATGAAGATGTTGCCTATATGTTGCTCCACAGTGACTGAAACACAAAGATGTCACAGGTCAGGCTGGGCAGCATACTCCTATATCCTGTTTTGTCACTCTTCCTGTGGTACTTTGAAATGGGAGAGGGGGAAGAGGATAAAAGTCCAAGATCAAATTCAGCCCTGGCATGGAATAAGGGACTCATTCACCAAATAATGCCCCTCTCATAACAAGAATGAAAGCAGCTCTGGAGGGCATGTGGCCTAAGCTCAAGAAACTGAGGAGCAGGCTAAACTTACTGGATCTGCGGTTCTTCATCATCACAATGGCACTGAGGAACATCAGGATCTCCACTTCTCTCTGGAACAGAATCAAAGTGACAGGAATGCCATAAACACCGATGCTTTGGGTGGGTGAGGGAGCCCAATATGGAATAAAAACCAACAGAGATCCAAATTGGGAATGGTACCAGTAAAGAAATAACTGGAGTTGGCGAAGATGTGGTGGGAAAAACACCAGTCAGGTTCTACCCTGCTACAAACCGGCTGGTGCCCTTTGGCAGATCACTTCACCTCTGAGCTTTGCTTTCCTCAGTGGAACAGTATCTGTCTCAAAATGTTACTGTGAGGAGTAAATGAGATAATGGGTATGAAAGAACTGCATAAAGCCTAGTACCGTTATAATACTGTAAGACAATATTACCAACTCAAAATAAAATAAATAAAAGTTTTCCAGGGAAACTTCTTCTGTAATATTCCATTAATACAATATCTGGCTATTCCATTTTTTGGGCTTTGTTTACATTAAATCATTCCTCGCCATCCAATATTCATAGTGATAATCCATGCACTTTTTTTTTTATTCTTATGTTAATCCCCATACATTACATCATTAGTTTTAGATGAAGTGTTCCATGATTCATTGTTTGTGCATAACACCCAGTGCTCCATGCAGAACGTGCCCTCCTCAATACCCACCACCAGGCTAACCCATCCCCCCAGCCCCCTCCCCTCTAGAACCCTGTTTGTTTTTCAGAGTCCATAGTCTCTCATGGTTTGTCTACCCCTCCGATTTCCCCCGCTTCATTCTTCCCCTCCCGCTACCTTCTTCTTTTTTTTTTTTCTTAACATATATTGCATTATTTGTTTCAGAGGTACAGATCTGAGATTCAACAGTCTTGCACAATTCACAGTGCTTACCAGAGCACATACCCTCCCCAGTGTCTATCACCCAGTCACCCCATCCCTCCCACCCCACCCCCCACTCCAACAACACTCAGTTTGTTTCCTGCGATTAAGAATTCCTCATATCAGTGAGATCATATGATACATGTCTTTCTCTGTTTGACTTATTTCATTCAACATAATACCCTCCAGTTCCATCCCCATGCACTTTTAATAGGATTTGAGAGCTGAAGGGGGCCTCTCAGAGCTTTAGAAGGCTGTTCTCAGTACCTTGGGCTTCCAGTTCTTTCTCACTTTCTAGGCTCTAAGGTCTGTGAGACAAACAATAATCATGAAAAAGAAACAAACAAGGTAATTTCATTGAAGAGTAAAGACTGTAATGCATAACAAGGACCCTGTGAAAGAAAGCATGGTAAGGGGGAGCAACTAGAGTCTAGATGGTCTGAGGCCTTCCAGACCTTTTTGTTTACAATATAGGAACCCAAATCACTATTTCACACAGAACCAATCAACTACAATTTACAACTAGAAGTCAGGGACCTTAGGTCCTGGGTTTTTAGCATCAGTCTCCAACAAAAAGTAACCGACTGGCTTTAGCAATAGACACATAAAGTGGGGGTTAGGGAATATGAAAGACCTTACTAAATATACCTGAGCAGAAAGCAGCACATTTTCACAAATGAAATTGGGTTACAATTGGCATATAACAAACGTGGAAAGATGAACTTAAAAGGAAAAAAAAAAAGACCTGTGGTCAAGCAGGAGACCAAATGTAGGAATGAAAGGAAGAGTGTCTAAAGACAGTGGGTCAATGGCAGAGACTGGCTACATATGCTCCAAACCCAGTTTCTGTTTCCTCCTGCACGTACTGCAGCTGGACTCTCAGTCTACTTGCATCCAAGTAGCACTGTGTGACTAGCTTTCCTGCATGGAATGTGAGTGGAAGCGATGTGCCACGTCTGTGCGGGGCAGGAAGCAAGTGCGTGTCCTCATGTTCCAGCTTCCTGTGCTCATCTGCTGGCTGGCTGATGACCCTAATGCCACAGGGGGAGGCAGAATGAGCCTGGGTTCCAGACAAACGGCATGAAGCAGAGCCCCTTTGGTTGTTCTGTTTGTTCCTTGTTTTTAAACTGTTTATTATGGAAAATTTCAAACATACATAAAAATAGGATACTAAAAGGTAGCAGAATGTGCCCCCCAAAATATGCGACTTTGGATTATTCTGCATTATAATTTTGAGCCTAAAAGCAATGAAGAAGTAGATACAAGAAAAGTTCCTTGCTCTCCCTCTATTTGTCTAAAAGCAAGACATACTTTATTTTTAGATTTTATTTATTTATTAGAGAGAGAGAGAGAGCATGCGCACAAGTGTGGGGAGGGGCAGATGGGGAAGGAGGGGAAGAGAATCTCAAGCAGACTGTGCACTGGGCTCGGAGCCCCACACCCGGCTCAATCTCACAACCCTGAGATCACAACCTGAGCCAAAACCAAGAGTCACAAGATTAACTCACTGAGCTACCCAGTTGCCCCAAAGCAGGACATAAATGTTTTGAAAGTATTCCTCCAACCCTCTCTACCAGGACAAAAGTTAATCAAGGGAGACGATTTTAGACCCTATCAGCCTGGAAACAGCACCAGAGGAAACTAACAAAACAAACAAGAGCCTTTATCTACCATTAGTTTACCTTCCCACAGTTTGCTGTCCTTGGAAGCCTTTGTTCAGTCATTTCTCCAAAAACGTATTGCTTTTTGTTGAGGATGTGATATAAGCCAGAGTTCTAATCCACCTCTGAGTTAATTCATTTTCCCTGGATATCTCCCATATATACATGAGGTATACATGTTAATAAACTTGTTTATCTTTTGTTTTTAATCTTTTATTACAGAGGTCTCAGCCAAGACCTCAGAAAGGTAGAGGAAAGGGGGCGCCTGGGTGGCTCAGTCGTTAAGTGTCTGCCTTCGGCTCAGGTCATGATCCCAGAGTCCTCGGATAGAGCCCCGCATCGGGCTCCCTGCTCTGCAGGAAGCCTGCTTCTCCCTCTCCCACATCTCCCGCTTGTGTTCCTTCTCTCACTGTGTCTCTCTCTGTCAAATAAATAAATAAAATCTTAAAAAAAAATTTTTAAAAAAAAGGTAGAGGAAAATTTTCCTCCCCTACAATACTTTAATCCCTACTACTCAGATTTAACAGTAACATTTTGCCAAAACAGTTCCATTTCATCTATGCTACCCACTTTTTTTGGAAAAATTTAAAGCAAATTCTAACTATATCATTTCACCTGCAAATACTTCAGTGTGTCTCTCTTACAGATAAGGACTTTCTTTTTAAGGGGGGGGAGGGGCAGAGGGAGAGGGAGAATCTTTTTTTTTTTTAAAGATTTTATTTATTTATTTGAGAAAGAGAGAATGAGAGAGAGCACATGAGAGGGGGGAGGGTCAGAGGGAGAAGCAGACTCCCTGCTAAGCAGGGAGCCCGATGCGGGACTCGATCCAGGGAGTCCAGGATCATGACCTGAGCCGAAGGTAGTCGCTAAACCAACTGAGCCACCCAGGTGCCCCAGGAGAGAGAGAATCTTAAGCAAGCTCCACACCCAGGCTGACCCGAGCAAAATCAAGAGTTGGATGCTTAACCAACTAAGCCACCCAGGCACCCCAAGGACTTTTTTTTTTTAAAGAAGCCCCCCTTTTTAAAGTTTATTTATTTGTTTTAGTAATCTCTACTTCCAATGAGGGGCTCAAACAACCCCAAGATCAAGAACTACATGCTCTTCCAACTGAGCCAGCCAGGCACCCTGGGACCTTTTTTTTTTTTTTTTAAACAAACCAAAATACCATTATCACACTTAACACAATTAATAATTCCTTACTGTCATTTAATATTTGGCCCTTCTTCAAATGATTCCAATAATTTCAAATTGTCTTTGTGCAGTTGTTTGTTCAAATCAGGAACAAGCAAGCCAGATCCACACAATGCATTTGGCTTATGCGTTTCTTTGGGTTTTCTTTTATCTCTAAAGAATATCTATTCTTCCTTTTTACCCCAGGCTACTCATCTTTTAAAGCCATTGAGTCATCTGTACTCTCAACTTTCCCACTTTCTGGATTTGGCTGCTTGCGAACTTACGGTATGTGTTCTTCTGATGATGATTTTCTATCTCCCATATTTCTTGTAAAGTGGCAATGAAATCTAGAGGCTTGAATACAATGAAATCCAAATCTTTTGCCAGAAATACATCATAGGTGGTGCTAGAGACTCCCTATTGCATCCCTTCAGAGGATACATCAACCTTTCATCTGATGGATTTAGCATCCACAGATGATCATTGCCTAGGTTTATTATTTCATTAGGGGTTGATAAATGCTTTTGTTGTTGTTTGGTTGGTTGGATTTTTCGTTTTTTTGTTTTGTTTTTTTAGTAAGCTCTATGCCCAACGTGGGGCTTGAACACATGACCCTGAGATCAAGGGTTGTATGCTCCACTGACTGAGCTAGCCAGGTACCTCTCTTAAATGATTTTTAAATTTTATCAATCCTTGGGACGCCTGGGTGGTTCAGTCAGTTAAGTGTCTGCCTTCGGCTCAGGTCATGATCCCAGGGTCCTGGGATGGAGCCCCACATCGGGCTCCCTGCTCAGCAGGGAGCCTGCTTCTCCCTCTGCCTGCCGCTCCCCCTGCTTGTGCTCTCTGTCTCTGACAAATAAATAAAATCTTTAAAAATAAGTAAATAAATAAACTTGTGTCACATCCCTGAAAATTTGAGGCTTGTTATTTTATTTTTATTTATTTACCTGTTATTGCTAACATTATTTACCTTAATATCCTAACTTTCCAGTCATCAAGGTAAATCAGTAAAACATGGATTTTCCAGGAAAACAAACACTGGTTATGAACTCTATGTAATTAATTTTAAAAAATTCCATCAGAGAAATAGTAAAATACAAAAAATTCCAGTATTTTGCATATTATTAAATGAGAGTATTCAGAGAAATTAGTTATATAAAACGTCCCTATACTTATTAAAATCTTTACTACTACCCACTTACATCTTTGAGTCCCATTTCGGTTAAATCAGTATGGAATCCAGTAGTCCTCCCTTATCTGTGGTTTTAGTTACCTTCAGTCAACCACAGTCTGGACACAGATCATCCTCCTCCTGACTTATCAACAGAAGGTCAACAGTAGCCTAATGCTATGTTACAATGCCTATGTCATTCACCTCACTTCATGTCACCTCACTTTATCATCTGATATCATCATCATCAGAAGGATGAGTACAGTATGATAGGATATTTTAAGGGAGGGAGACAAAGAGATCACATTGACATAATTTTCATTACATTACTTTGTTATAATCGTTCTATTTTATTATTAGTTATTGTTGTTAATCTCTTACTGTACCTAAATTGCAAATTAATTTATCACAGGTATGTATGTATAAGACAAAATATCATATATATAAGGTTTGGTACTATCCAGGGTTTCAGGCAACCACAGGGGGTCTTGCAATGAATATCCACCGCCCCCACCCCCCAGCTGCCCCAGATAAGGAGGGACCACTATAAAAATAGGATCATCTGAAGTAGCATGGGTACACTACACTTGAGCTTACCAGTAATACTGTCTGGGAAAGGACAGAGGAAGTATGAAAGCGTTAGCAAGGGATGGAGAATAAAAGTAAGGGAGTGGGTTCTGGTAAAGGTCAAGACTCACTTTGGGGACTGGGAAAAAAGACAAAACCTCAGGCTGACCCTCCTCCCTCAGAACACTGCTGCAGCTGTACAGCTGAGAGCACCGAGCTTCAACTCATTTTTCTCCGCTCTCACTCAAGTACAGCAAGACTCTCGAGAGAGATTTCTTTACAGTTTTTTTTTACAATTTCTTTTCAACGGGTCTAACACTTGTGTTCATTTCTGCATCCTCAGGATGCGGCAGAGTGCCTAGCAGATAGTGCATGCCCTGGAAATGTTAACTGAATTAAGAGACGGCTGATGGGAGTGTGCAGGTATTATGGCCAAAAGAGTGGTTTCAGGTCGCATTCACTCACTAGTTGACTCACTAGTGACTAGTTTGGCCACTCGCCTAACCACGCCGAGATCAATTTCTCCATGAATAAAACGGGAGTACTACTACCCTCCTTGTTTACCTCACTGGCTCCTCAAGAGGCTTTATATAATGGGTAGCCTTGTAAAACACTGAACATGTGTAGAGTTTGGGTACAACTGTTGACCAGCATGAATGGTGAGATGGAAAGAACCCTGGACTCAAGGATCCGAAGAGCCAGGCTGCTAAGCAAGTTCACCGGCTGTTTTCCCATCTTAATTAAGCATGAAGAGGTTTAGGCTCGATGATAGTCCAGGCCCTACATTCTAACAGTCTGTAAGTCCGCTACAGGCTCGGAACCTCAGGTATCCTCAAAAAGGGGAACCTCGGGGCTCCCGCATGCAACCTCGGGGAGCAGGGACAGTGAAGGTCGCGGGGTCCGCTCACCCAGTCAAAGTCACACGGGTTGCCGTCTTCGCGTTGCGTGGGGAGACTGTTGCAGAGAGGGGGTAGCTTCCTCACGAGTAGGAATGCAACAGAAAGCAGGGCTGACAAAAGATAGTAAGGTCGGGCCAGCCATCGTGAAAGCCGTGGCACCGAATACACCAGAGCAATTAAAGGTGCCAGGACCGCCATCTTTCCGGCCTTTGCGGCGCCCGCCCAGCTTCGGCGTCTGTAGGTCTGGTCCCGCCTCTCCCACCATTGAGACTTCCTTTGGGTCTAGTCTCGGATGCACCGCCTCTGCGCCCGGAAGTATATCTCTGATTGGACGCTGCGGCAGGTAGGGGGATTTGACACTTTATTGGTCAATCTAGCTGTCGCTTTCTCTAGTTAAGTCATTTTATTGGATATGCAACCGTGGCGATGGGAGACTACAGAAAAGAATTTAATAAATTTAGATAGCACTTCCTGAACGTTCTCCTAAAGCGACGGAAGTAGTTACCCGAAAAAGGTAGGCGGGGCACCCAATGATAAGCGGCTCCTAGAGGAAGAGGGCGGGACATCGTGAAGGGATTGTCCAATGAAAACGACCGACGCCAGACACCGGGACCGCGCCGGGGCGGAGAAGACGATGGAGAATTTCTCGGCACTGTTCGGAGCTCAGGCTGACCCACCACCACCTCCAACCGCACTCGGCTTCGGACCAGGAAAGCCTCCACCTCCGCCTCCCCCTCCTCCGGGCGGGGGCCCCGGCACGGCCCCGCCGCCCACTGCGGCCACGGCCCCTCCCTGCGCCGACAAGTCGGCGGCTGGTTGTGGTCCCTTCTATCTTATGCGGGAACTTCCAGGTGAGTACTAGGCCTGGCCGAAGGTAGCCAATCAGATCATAGCGAGGAGATGATGGGCGTGGCTCTCAGCCTGCCGGGGTAGGTATGAGGTAGCCTAGGCAACGCGTGTCGGGACCTTGGAGCTCAAAGTCGGAAGGGGTCTGAGGATTCACGACCAAAGGGATGACATGAATTTTTGGCCTGGATTGGGAAGGGGGAAAGAATGCATTTCCGTGACCATGTTTCACACCATATTTGGCTCTGTCCCTGATCCTGGTTTATGGTTCCCTAGAAATTATCCAGAGTTTGAGTTTGGAACTCGAGAGGCCTGATTTAACATCCCTGCAGACCTAAGGTTTTCCAAATCTGTCACAAACATGCTGTTGGTTAGAGGCATGTTGCCCTCCTTCTAAGGGCCTCTGCGTGTCTTCAACAGTCGGAAGGAGGGATTAGAATCGAACCAAAAATTTGTTTTGTTGAGCACCTACTGTGTACCAAGCACTGTTCTAAATGCTTAAGATACAGCTGTGAGTAGGACTGACAAGATCTTTGCCTGTTTTGGAGATTACATTTCAGAAGAGGCGGCACAGAGTAGTACACTAGATAACATCAGGTAGCGGTTAGTGCTACAAGGAGAAAATGTGATAAAGAATTGAGGCAGAACTGCTTTAGCTAGAGTGATCAAAGAATCCGTCTCTGAGTAGATAATATTTGAGCGTAAATGTAAAGAGCCAGTCATGTGTGAATGGGAGAGATAAGATGCAAGAAATGAGGTCAGAAGCCGTGGTGTGAGGGAAAAGCTTGGAATATCTGAGGGTCAGAAGACCAGTTGGACTCCAGTGAAGTTTCAAGGGAAAGAGTGATAGGAGATGAAGGGGGGAGGAGTAAGTAGAGGCCTTTGTAAAGTATTTAGATTTTAAGTTCAGGGGGAACCATTTTATTTATTTGTTTTTAGTAATCTCTGTACCGAAAGTGAGGCTCAAACGCAGCACCCGAGATCAAGAGTCGCATTCTCTACTGACTGAGCCAGCCAGGCACCCCTCAGGGGGAGCCGTTTTAACACAGGAAAGTGACATCATCTGATTTACTTATTTGTAATTATCCAAACAGCTACATTAAGAATGGAAAGTGAGGAAATCAGTCAGAAGTTACTGCTTAGTGGTCCAGGAAAGAGATGATGGTTTGGACTAGGCAGTAGCAGTGGAGGAGAGAAGTGAACTGATGCAGGATAAACGTTAGGGATAGAGCTTATGGGAACGAAGGATTGAATCTAGAGGTAGAGAGGAACTGAAAATACTTGTAAATTCTTGGATTGAATAGTTGGGTGGATGGTAGTGCTGAGACCAAGAAGGAACAAGTTTGAGGAGGTGGAAGTCAGAAGAGTCATTTTGGACATGTTAATTCTCCAGATGGCCTTTCAATTCCTCCCAAGTCCTACTGCTACATCAGGAATTGAGGGAGATAATAATGCATATTGGTACAGTGCTTTGAAGTTCACAGTGCAGTTATATATGTAATAGAATTTGATACTGAGAATAGCCCCTTGAGGTAGGCATGTTATAGTTGAATAAAACTGAAGCATAGAAAGGTTGACTTTCCTTTGGTCAGTTAGTGGTTGATGTCTCCCAGCAGTTTCTCTAACTTTACCTATTCTGATTGTACCTATTTTTATCAAGCAGTTGACAGATACTGAGATCTGTTTTGGGCAAATGCTGGTTTATGTAGGAAGGGCAGCATGTGGTGAGAAGGGGAGAGAATACGTCTAGTCCTTGCTTTTTTTTTTTTTTAAGATTTTATTTATTTATTTGACAGAGACACAGCGAGAGAGGGAACACAAGCAGGGGGAGTGGGAGAGGGAGAAGCAGGCTTCCCGCAGAGCAGGAAGCCCGATGCGGGGCTCGATCCCAGGACCCTGGGATCATGACCCGAGCCGAAGGCAGACTCTTAACGACTGAGCCATCCAGGTGCCCCTAGTCCTTGCTTTTAAGGAGTGTATTTTACTTAGGGATATAAAGTATGTGGTTTAAGGATAGTGACTGTATTTCTTGTAAAGGCTAATCTCATTACTTCGTGGTCATGCCTCATATACAGCTATTAAGAACTACATGATGGGGGCCCCTGGCTGGCTCAGTAGGTAGAGCATGCGACTCTTGATCTTGGGGTTGTGAGTTCCAGCCCTGCATTGGGGGTAGATGTTTACTTTAAAAAAAAAAACAACAAAAAACTACATGCTGGTTTTCAAAATGTGTTCCTTGTTATCCAAAATGACAGAAAGGGGGCACCTGGGTGGCTCAGTCGTTAAGTGTCTGCCTTCAGCTCAGGTCATGATCCCAGGGTCCTGGGATCGAGCCCCACATCGGGCTCCCTGCTCGCCGGGAAGCCTGCTTCTCTCTCTCCCACTTACCCTGCTTGTGTTCCCTCTCTCTCTCTCTCTCGCTGTCAAATAAATAAATAAAATCTTAAAAAAAAAAAAAAAATGACAGAGTTGTCACTTGAGTCAGACGTTGAAAATTTCATATTGGTGAAGAAAATTTGGAAGAATTATCTTATAATTACATCAGTTTTCCTAAAATTTTCCTAAAAGGAAATGAGATGAGAAGTGTGTTTCTTAGGAGATAATGGAGACTCATTTGGATGGATTAGAAACGTGGCATAGGCCAGTAGTAGTTGATCAGGCCCCAAAACTAAGTTACAGTAACATGTGTTTTACCGTGAGTGCCAAAGGAATTTGAGCTTTTTCCTGAGGATAATAGGAAACCATTGAGATTCACGGACCGAGGAGTATTGCTTCTAAAAATATCCGGAGAATATGGGTGCCATGTATTGAAATAGAGAAGCCCTGAGTGAGGTGGGGAAGATTTGGGAGTTTAAAGAAAATGAATCTTCATGGAATTGACTAAGAGGAAGTTGGAAGTGTAAGACTAGTTTTTAGGAGGGGAGTTTTTAGCAGGCTGGGGAGAGAGGTTTAGAAATCATCTTCATGGGGGGGTGCCTGGGTGGCTCAGTTGGTTAAGCGACTGCCTTCGGCTCAGGTCATGATCCCGGAGTCCTGGGATCGAGTCCCACATCAGGCTCCCGACTCAGCGGGGAGCCTGCTTCTCCCTCTGAACCTCTCCCCTCTCATGCTGTTTCTCTCTCTCTCACTCTCTCAAATAAATAAATAAAATCTTTAAAAAAAAAAAAAGAAATCATCTTCATGGAACTGATAGTCAAAACAGGAAGTTGGATGGACTCATAAAGTGTTTAGGAAAAGCAGGAGTGCCTTCTCACGCGGGCCTTGAGGATGAAGCCCCTGGAAGAGGAGAGCTGACAGGTGGGAAACAGCAGGATGCTAGCCTGGCTGGAGGAGCAGTTCTGAGGAGCAGTACTCTGGCGCTGAGTGTTCCGCCCTTACAGTAGACCATGTTTGTGAAACGTTTGGCACGAGAAGGGGAAACGGGAAGGATAGGGTAAGGCCTTGGGGTATGGAGGGAAAATACCTTGCTCGCTCAACTTAAAGTTACTGAGCACCGAAGGTGTGTACTGCATTTGGCACCCGTGATACATGTTCGAACAAGAAAGACACTGTTTCGGCCCCCAGGGGCCTCAGATCAGAACCTGGGTTTTTCCAAGTGAATGGTTATGAACAAGCCACTTTCGTCATCATTTGCATTCTTCGTGTTCCTCGTAACTGTGGATGAAATTGTAGGCTGGCTAGCTCCACCCTTTGCCACTAGATCCTTATTAGATTACTAACAAGCTTCCATTTTTTGAAGAAAGTCAGCCATGCGATATTTATACTGATAGTGCTTTGCATCTATAGAATATACTTCTCAATGTTTTCATTTGCACCTTGAAAAAAAATTAAGTGTGCTTAAGATAGCTGTTACCCACTGCAGAGATAAGAGGAAACTGAGGCATAGAGCACGGCTAGGATTAGACTTCTAGTTGTCCAGATGCTAAGGGAACATTTCTTTCTTTGACGCAGAGTATTATACTTGGCATTATGAGTAATGGAGATGGTGATAACAAGTCAGTCAGCAGTAGCTAAAAAATCCTGTTTTCTATGTAAAGGTACTTAATGTTTCTTGCTAGTAAAAAAAAAAAAAAAAGTCCTTGACCAGACACTCAAGCCATTGGGTCATATTTGGCTCTTACCTTGCTGGTGGCCGAGCTCTGAGGTAATATCTTGCTGTGTCAGAGAGTGTAATTTCTCACTAGTATATTATATGAGAAGCACTCAGAACAGTGTTTAGCACAGAGTAAACATCATGTAAGTGTGGTGAGTCCAAGTTGGGGAGAGTGTCTCTTGCTTTGGGGTAGAGTAGTTTCCATCTATGTCCTCATTGGATGTTTGTGGATTTTTCTCCTCGTTCCAACTTACCATTCTATGGTATATATTTTTAGTGTTTATTATATGTTATTTAGTTTTGCTGTTCTTAAGAAAATAAATTCAAATCTTTCT